CACCCCCCCAGTGGGGGGGGTGCTCGACCGAAAAAGTGGTGATAGTTTCCTGGTGTTGAGTCGTTCCCGATTAGGAAATAATTTTCAATGACCGGAGTTGTAACGGAGACGGAGGATGGCTCCATAAGCGAGATAATGAGATATAATAATAATAATAATAATGGTCCTTATTTCCATCTCCTCCATCATTGTGTCCCCTGTTCACTGCGCCCTCTGCCATACAATTTCCCACTATTCCAGCCCCTGGCCTGCTGCCATCCTCCATTCCCTCCATCTCTCCACCTCTGTCTCCTCCCATTCATATCTGAGTCCACCTTCCTCCTCTTCCCAAATTGTATCCTCCATCCCACTACTTCCATTGCCAGAGCCCTCACACTCTGGCACTTGTCCAAGGTGGCCTTGCCTAGATGCAACCCAACTCTTTCTCACACACTCTCCAAAAGCCAGTAGCCCAGCCTTAGATCCCAGCACATCTGGGAGGTGAAAGTGTTCAGCCACTGATCTTAGGAGGTGTCTATGCTGTTGGTATCTGCTGCAGTATAGGATCAGGTGTTCTGGTGTCTGTGGTAGTAGTGTGCTCTTAGTACAACTGCATCTGTCACTAACATTCTCATCCAATCTGCTAAGATAGGAATTGAAGTAGCCATGCCCAAGCCTAAGTTGGGTGGCAGTTGCAAGTTGTGGTCTGTGGAGCTGAAAGAAGTGTAGTGGAGGATGCAGAGAAGGTAGGTGGAAGTGGATAGACCTATAATGTCTGCCCTGTTTAGCTGGTTGTAGCTGTGTCCAGTACTGGTGCCAGCCTTTAAGGGCAGACTGCTTGATCTGTGTCTTCAATTTGGTCAGTGAGAGATAACTGTCTATATCAGGTTGGGGATACTCAGCTGCTTGTTTTGCCAGTTTGTCAGCTTCATCATTACCTTGAATACTAGTGTGACTTGGTACCCAATAGAGATGAAGCTGTAAGTCCAGGTCAGAGGATAGAAGGTCTCTTGTAAGTTGTTGAATCTGTTGAGAAATTTGTTGTCCAGGGTGGGGAGAGAGTCTGTGAGAGTTGCTGATTGCTGCTTGGTTGTCGGTGAAAACCCAGATGTGCTTGAAGGATAGGCTGCACCTGCTGGCTTCTGTGAGTGCTCTCGCAATACCTACCAATTCCCCATCATGCACCTTCATCCCACATCCTAATCCAACTCTCCATCTTCCAACAATCCCACCACCATGCATCATTACCACTCCTGCTCCGACTCCTCCATTTTGCAGTTCACTTCCATCTGTATAGAGAACAAGGTTTTCTGAATTGTTGAGGGAGTTGAGGAGAGTAATATGACTTTTGGCTGCAGTGTCTTTGTCTTGGTGGCTGATAGTGATGTCAGGTCTAGAGGTGGTATCAGGCAGGTTGGTATCCCAGGGTGGTTGCAGGTTTGGGTAACACTGTTCAACATCTTGTCCTACAGGCAGGAATGAACTTAGTGTATTTAACACTCTTATTAGTTGGGTGGGGAACTTAGCTTGCTCAGAATCAGTTTTCCTCCAATGAGCCTGCATCTTGCCATATGGCTCATGCTGACGATTCCACAAGTATGTTCTGTTATGTTGCTTGTAGGTAGAAGTCCAAGATATGTCACTCTCAGAGGAGGAGGAGCATGGTCTGTCTAGTGGAATGGATGAGGAAAGGGTGCTTGGGAATGAGCTGGGTGTTCTCTGCCTGATAGGATGGTCTGAAAGCATCTGTAAAACTCTGTAAGCATATCTCTTACACTGTCTGTCAAGTCTCAATGGAATGGGAAGGGTGGCTGCTTCAATCTCCATTGCAGCAGTTGGTGAAGTTCTGAAAGCCCCCAGGATTCTTCTGTTTGCCTCTGCCTGCAACTTCTGTAACTTGTTAGCAAGACCAATTTGACCTTTCCACCAGACCTCTGCTCCATAGTCAGCTATTGGAGTAATGCAGGTATAGTATAGTTGCCTCATTGCTGGTGCTGAAAGGCCCCATTCTGAGTTGGATAATGTAGAAATCATGTTATGTGCCCTAGTTGCTGCAGCTGTCTTCTGTTTCACATGGATGTTAAACAAAAGCTTCGTGTCAAGCCAAACTCCTAGCCATCTAAGATGTAGAGAAGGGAAGACAACAGTGCCATGAGGAAGAGTGACAGGGGAGTTGGTAGTCAAGTCCCTTGTTTTGTTGTGAAAGTGCATGAGTTCTCTCTTGGGATCATCAAATACTATTACATTGTCAGCTGCCCAACTCCAGGCCCTTCTGGCTACCACCTCCAATGCCTTGGAGTTAGCCTGCTCAGAGGGGCCTGTGACTATAAAAGCAATATCATCAATAAAGGAGGGGGATCTTAGCTGTGGAGTCAAAACTCCTGGTTCCAAGTCCTTGAATAAGTTTGTCAAGTAGAATAGGAAGAGGATTGGTGAAATGGGAGAGCCTTGAGGGATGCCTGTGTTGACTGGTAGGAGTGGTTGTCTTTGTCCATCAAAAGCTAACCCCAGTTTCCTGTTGGAGAGGAAGCTGTCTGTCCAGGTAAGAACTGGTGGAGGAAATCCTAAAGACTGCAGCACCAAGAGTAGTTGTGTTTGGCTAACATGGTCAACTGCACCTTTAACATCAACAAAGAGGGCAGAAAGGACTTTACCATTCAACTTAGCCTGCTGAATATCATGTGTTAATGCCATCACTGCATCCACTGCACTTCTTCCTTTCCTTCCTCCCATTTGCTCTGAGTGAAGAAGGCCTTTACTTTCTGCAATGTAAGCTAGTCTGTTGGCCATTATCTTTTCTGAAATCTTTCCTAAGCAGTTTAGCAGAGAGACAGGTCTATAAGCTTTGGGGGTAGTGTAGTCTGCTTTGTTAGGTTTTCTGATTATAGCTCCAGTTGCCTCTCTCCAGCATTGGGAATGATATCCTGTCTTCAGTACAGTTTGAAATAACTTAACAAGAGGGATAAGAATTGCATGATACACTTGCCTCAGACAAAGAAAGTTAATACCATCAGGTCCTGGAGCTTTATGAGGTGCAGATTTGAAGATTGCATCTTTCACCTCCTTGTCAGTAATATCATACCAGGGACAGCACTTATGCATTTCTGTATCCTCAGGGTTGAAAGTTGTTTTGCTGGCAGGTGGATTAGGGAACATGGCTTCTCTGAACATCATGCACTTACTATCAAAGTCAGTAGCACACTGTAGGTCAAAAGACAGGGGAGGAGTTTTGAGGGACCTAGTTGGTCTAGTATATTTAATTGCAGTAAAGATATCTTGACCCCTAGCAGAGTTGAGGAAACCCTTCCAGCAGTTAGATTTGCTGTCTCTGATTTTCCTAAAGTACCTATTATTTATTATTATATGTCATTAAGCTTATGGAGCCAGAGGCTATGAAGCTGTCAAAGTACATGATTGTAGTGCTTCCCACTACTGGTCCCTAATTCCATCTCCTCCATCATTGTGTCCCCTGTTCACTGGGCCTTCTGCCATCCTATTTCATTCTATTCCTCCACCTGGCCTGCTGCCATCCTCTATTCTCTCCATCTCCCCACCTCTGTCTCCTCCCATTCATATCCCAATCCTCCTTCCTCCTCTTCCCAATTTCTATCCTCTACCCCACTACTTTCATTGCCAGAGCCCTCACACTCAGGCACTTGTCCAAGGTGGCCTGTCCTAGTTCCAACCCAACTCTTTCTCACAAACTCTCCTAAAGCCAGCAGTCCAGTCTTAGATCCAAGCACATCTGGGAGGTGGAAGTGTTGAGCAACTGATTTTAAAAGGTGTCTATGCTGTTGGTATCTGCTGCAGTATAGGATCAGGTGTTCTGGTGTCTCTGGTGCTGGTGTCCTTTTCCTACAACTCCATCTGTCACTGACATTCTCATCCAATCTGCTAAGATAAGAATTGAAGTAGCCATGCCCAAGTCTAAGTTGGGTAACAGTTGCAAGTTGTGGTCTGTGGAGTTGAAAGAAGTGTGGTGCAGGATGCAGAGAAGGTAGGTGGAAGTGGATGGACCTATAATGTCTGCCCTGCTTAGCTGGTTGTAACTGTATCCAGTACTGGTGCCATGCTTTAAGGGCAGACTGTTTGATCTGTGTCTTCAATTTGGTCAGTGAGAGATAACTGTCTATATCAGGTTGGGGATACTCAGCTGCTTGTTTTGCAAGTCTGTCAGCTTCATCATTACCTTGAATACCAGTGTGACCTGGTACCCAATGGAGATGAAGCTGTAAGTCCAGGTCAGAAGATGGAAGGTCTTGAATGAGTTGTTGAATTTCTTGAGAAATCTGTTGTCCTGGGTAGGGTGACAGTCTCTGGGAGTTGGTAATTGCTGCCTGATTGTCTGTGAAAACCCAGATGTGCTTGAAGGATAGACTAGACCTGCTGGCTTCTGTGAGTGCTCTGGCAATACCTACCAATTCCCCATCATACACCTTCTTTCCAAACCCTAGTCCAACACTCCACCTGCCCACAATCCTACCTCCATGCATCATTACTACACCTGCTCCTACTCCTCCACTCTGCAATTCACTTCCATCTGTGTAGAGAATCAGGTTTTCTGAATTGGTGATAGAGTTGAACAGAGAGATGTGACTTTTGGCTGCTGTATCTTTGTCTTTCTGGCTGATAGTGATGTCAAGTCTGGGGTCCTAAAGTACCTGTTCCTAGATCTTTTGTAGTCAGTGTAGTCAGTCTCAAGTCTGGAGTGTTTCCATATTCTGCAGCATTTGGCCATCTCAGTCCTCATACTAGCATGTTCCTCAGTCAAAAAACAACCACAGCAACCAAGACCCCCCCCATAAATTTTCTCAACAACCAACACTCCTCTTTTTTCCTGCACAGAGATTCTTGTTCAATAAACCACTTTAAACCTTTTCACCAATTTTTAGAACTTTATTCCTCCTTTTACCTCCATCTTGGCACTAAATCCTGATTTTACCCCTATTTTTACCCCTGAATTAGCCCCCTTCAACATAGAACTCTGTCAGTTTGAGAGCTTCTGCTCTCAAATTTGGACAGCCTACTGTTCTTAGCTAGCAGAGGTACCTGTTCAATTTTTAGCTGAGTAGCTTTTCTTTCACATCCTGTGCTTAGTTTTCTTTCCTTGTTCCTCCTTGTTGTTTTGATTTTCCTCTGGTTGCCACTTGCCCCCTACCACCCCTGTACCC